GCGGGGTTTCTGTGGGATGGCCTCAAGTTCTATGAGTCGTTTAACTTGGAGCTCCTGCGTGATCGTGCGCTGGCGTGCGGGCTCCCGCGGCCCCTAGTCAAGGTCCTGTTCAACTTCTGGAGGGGGCCCCGCCTGGTTCGACTGGGAGCCCATCACTGTCCTCTTGTGCAGTTTGCCCGCTCTGGGTTGCCAGCTGGCGACGTGTTCAATGACGCCTTCGTGCAGATCTACCTCCTCGGGGCCCTAGATGGTTTCGTGGCGCGGCACCCCCGCTTGGACCTCGGCGTGTACGTTGATGACGACTGCGTTTCCATGACGGGCCCCCGACAAGACCTCGTACCAGCCCTCGTGGAGGCCGCCCAGGACCTCGTCACCGTTTATAGGGAGGAGCTCCAGGTTGGCCTCGCCCACGACAAGGCGGTGGTCTTTGGGTCTTCCCATGATGTCGTTCGTGACCTCGATCGACGGCTTGCTCGTATCGGTGCTCGCTCAGCGGCTGCTACGACCTCTGCCACTGCGCTCGGTGCTGACTTTGCTCCTGCTCGTCCTCGTGCTGCGCCTGGCGCTACGTGTCGGATGAAGAAACGGTTTCGAGCTATGAAGAGACGTGTTGGCTTCCTGCGTTCGCTACGACGACGGCTCTCTGTTGGCAAGGCCAGACTTCACAAGATATATATATCTGGAGTGCGCCCTGCGACTACGTACGGCTCCCTCGTCACTGGCATGACGGAGAGAGAGTTGTTGGTTTTACGACGTGCCCTCGTCCCGTTCCGAGGAGGCTCGCTACCCGCTCGTATGCTCCTGTATGATGACCCAGCGTGGAAGGTAGCAGTGGCGCCCGTCATTCAATATTCCAAGGCAGTATGGAACTCAATTGTGCATCCTGATCGTGTTGTGCTCTCGTGGAGGTTCTTGCAGAAGACGTGGGATGCTGTAGCCGCGAAGTCTCCAGTCTTGCAGCAGTCGCAGTGGAATAAGAGTGCAGGCCCCATTCACCGTGCCATGTTGTGTTTGCATCGCCTAGGATGGAAGTTCACCAACTTTAAGACCTTCTTCGATGACAACCAGATAGAGCATGATTTGTTTTTCACCTCTCCTGCCTTGCTTGCCAAGCAGTTGCATGCTAGTATTCTTCGCCATCATGGCCGTTGCTTTGCTGCCACTCTAACGCAGGGGCAGGGGCAGGAGGTTGCCGCAGATTTGATTGTCCAAGCTGTCCGTTCTAAGAAATTCTCGGCGCTGCAAAAGCATGTTGTAGCCTCCGTCTTTGCTGGGGGCATGTGGACCGAGGACCGCCTTGTGCAGCATGGCTTTGAATCAACAGGTCTATGCCCCTTGTGCTCCCAGCCAGATTCAATTCATCATCGTCTCTGGTGCTGCCCTGCTGTGGCCGCCGCTAGGGATGAGGCGACGTCGGCAGAGATTGCAGCTGATGCGCGCGAGGAGCCCGGAGATCTCCTGTGGTCCAGGCTCCTGGTGTTCCAACCTCGCCCCGACGAGTTCCCTCCTCCCTCCTCTGAGTTGTTCCCTGTCTTCCAGGATGCCCAGGGCAACCCTGTGTCCCAGGAGACCTTCCAGGAGCTCAGCGCGGGATGTGATGTTTGTGTTGACGGCAGTGCAACTCGAACTGAATTCGCCCGTCTCAATCGAGCGGCTTATGCCGCGGTCTTTCTGGAGAATTCTGAGCAGTGCGAAGTCCGATGTAGGATGCAGGGTGTGGTGTGGGAGTCCTTACCCCAGACGGCGCCGTCCGCCGAACACCTTGCCCTAGCTATGCTTTCCATCTTCCAACGGGGCCCAGGGACCACGAGGCCGTTTTCCGATTGTTTGGGCGCTGTGCGCTTGACTCAAAAGCCTGCCCCCGCCCAGCTTAACGGTTCCCGAGTTTTTGCTGGTCTGCGCCGTGGTGCGCTCCAGCATCCAGGGCACGCACACATCGGGCACGTTAGTCATACCCGTGCCCATCGCTCTGAAGAAGCCATCTCCGCGCTCCCACCTGATGAGGAAAGGATCGCGCGTGGCAACCAGATGGCCGATTTGTTAGCCAAGGATGCCCTTTCCCTCCACCCCCGTGCCCCTCCCGCCACCTCGGAGTTGCATGGGCTTATGGTCAAACGCCTCCGCGCCGCCATTCGTGTGGCGGCGGCGGTCCTTCCCGCTTTCCCGCTCCCATCCTTTAAGAAGATCAAGGTGCCGAGCATAACGCGTGTTGTGTCGTGGCACGAGTGGTGTCGTGTGGGGAGTTGGAAGTTGCGTTGTGCTCGGTGCCTTGGGGCTTGCCCTGAGCAGGACGAGCGACCCCTCAATCAGTGCCCAGGCCCCCCTCCGCTCCTTGTAAAGTTGCGTGAGTGTGAAGGGGTGGGCGGCCACGTCCTGAGGGCGTGCTGGACGGCACGCGATCAGGTCCTAGTGTATTGCTGTAAATGCGGGGCCTATGCAGAGGAGAGGTCGAGTGGCGCCCTCTTCAAGACTTGTCGCCCTGCCTTGACGCCCCAGCGGGCGTATGATCGACGGCGCCTGGAGGCTGGGCTTCACCCGCACTCGCGTCGGCGTGAGGAGACCCTCCAGGCGCCGACCCCTCTCGAGTCCGACCTCATTCGGCGGTTGGTGGGTGGGACGGCTGGGTGGGCGGACGTCTCCTCCTCCTCCTCCGTCACTGCTGCCATCATTCGGAATCCTCGAATGGATGCGCTCGTGGCCCGTTTGCAGGCCAAGTTTTGGCAGTCGTCTTCGGGCTCGTAAGCCCTGCTCGGCGCGGGTCGGATTCGAGTTTTGCCGCCTTTTTGGCGTGTCGGATCCGTTCCTCCGTGTCGTGTAGGCCGCCCGTCGCCGTACCGTTGACGTTCCTTCTTGTTTGGGTCCTCCTCCTCCTCCTCCTCCTCCTCCTCCTAAGCGCGCGGGCAAGGGCAGGCGTCGGAAGGTCAAGGGCCCCGCCTCGACCACTCGGGCCGCCGTGCTCGACGCGCGGCGGGGGCCCAGAGAGGCCTTTGCGTGGCAGCACCGCGCCGTGAGTGCAACTGCGGAGGATTGGTCTCTTCCTGCATCTACCGAGCAAGGCAGTGGTCCCAGCGATTCCGAGGCGCTTGAGCTCCTGGACGGTGTGCGCTTCGACCTGAGGGCGCAGTTGTGGGAGGCGGCCTCTCAGCACGAAGCGGGCTCTGACTTTCATGGAGAGGGCGGCATCCCTTGCGCGAGCTGGAGCGTTTCGCTGAGGGTTGCCCGCTCAGCGAGCGCGGCCAGGCGACGGCCGCGGCGGCGATCGTTAGTGTCTCCCCCCGCGGGGTTCGCATCCTGCTGTTCTATCCTGGAAAGTCTTGATGCTCAAACCGCGTTGTTGGTCCCTGCACTACCACAACCACGGATCGCGCCCGATACTTCTCACAGTACATTCAGGAATCGCTATTTCGGCACAGATTTCCTCCCAATTAATTCAGAAGAGCGCTCTCGCCTGATAACGATGTCACCGCGCCAGTAGGTATCCTTCGGGATCTCCAGAGGAGCAGCTCTGGGCAAGAGGCGCCCCGGGACCTTCGCGCATCGGGCCTGGCTCTGCGAGGCAGACTGCGATCGCGGGGATTGCGCAGAGAGCTGCTGCCCAGTCCGTCGGGCATTGGCGGGCGCCGAGGCCCCCCCTGGCCAGCGGCTCAGCGGCGCGGCCCCGTCCGAGCTGGCCCGCCCGCTTTTGTTGTCAGAGCGGGGTGCTTGGTTCGTTTCCGCGCGCGAGCGTTCGCCCAATGATTGCAGCGTCGCAAGCGCAGTCGCAGCGATCTTCGGCGACGGATCGTGCGGGCGCCCTCCCCAACCCTCGCCGCCGGCGATGCGGCGCAGGAGCTGTCGCCATTCAGCAGCAGGGTGACGTGTTCGAAGTTCTCGGAGAAGTTGCGGCGGGCATCGTTGGCCGCAGTCAGACGGCCCCGATAACCCAGCTCACCGCTGACTCTTTGGCCTTGAATACGTACGTGGGCCCTATCCATTTCGTGGCGGACCACGGGCCATTTTTCGCGGGGCGAGAGCGGGAGGGGCCCAGGCTTGCGATGGGCGCAGCGGGGATTTTTGGCTGCGCACCAGAAGGGTTCTGGAGAGCCGTGGCGGAGGCAAGGTCACAGTCGATATTGGGTTCCTCCCAGGTGGATCCTGGCGTTCCTAATCTAACGCCCCGGGAGCGTTTCTCGGTTGCTGGCAACGCTGCGGCCGACGCCGTCGCGGGTGAAGCAGTCGAACTCAATTGGGAGTTTGGTCTGGCCGCGGACGCTTCCTCGACCGACCGACCGTTGGGATATGATCGCTGACCTGGCCAGGAGGGGGCCCCGCAGGGCTTTAGCGGGTGCTGCGGCGACCGATCCGATCAAGCCCGAGGACTCTTTGAAACCCCCAAGCACCATGTCACGCAGTTTGACAAACGCTTCAGGTGTTCAGGAGGTCTGGAGTGATGTGTTTCGGAGTGCGTTTAGGAAGGGGCCCTGAAGTCCTGAAGTGGTCTCAAGATGTTGTCGCTTCGGTTCCGGGACCCTTTGGTTGTCTACGGTGTGACCCTCAGCGAGTCCCGCCGCCTCGGCTTCTGGGACCGTTCTGGCATACCGCTTCTGCGGGCGTCCGGCAGCTTGGTGTTGCGCGTTCTAACCCTCTCCGGTAGGGCCGCGGGAACCTCGCCCGCATCTCGGGAGGCAGATGTCACAGCTACGCGGGCCCTCCCAGGACGGACATGACCGCTGGGGTTGATCGAGAAGTTGCGACGGCTAAAGCCCACGCGTCGGCCAGCCCTGTGGCTGGCTAGCTCCCCGCCCTCCTCCCTCCTCTCTTCCCTGCTCGCTGTGCTGCGCAGCTGCTCCAAATGCTCCTCCTCCTCCTCCTCCTCCTCCTCCTCCTCCTCCTCCTCCTCCTCCTCCTCCTCCTCCTCCTCCTCCTCCGCTTCCCCGCGGGGACAGCAAATGAGAGGTCGTCGCCGCCGTCGTCGGCGGCGGAGGCCCGCATTGCCCCCCCCCCGCGGAGTGGGCCGCGAGGCCGCCGAGGGCAGGCTGCTGTCCGCGGCCGTGCGGGAGGCCCGCGGGCTGATATTCGGCGCGCTGCCGGCGGACAGCCTGAGGGCGGTCGTGCTCGTGGGCGAGGACGAGGAGCGGGGGGGGGCCAAGCGTGCCATCAGGAGGAGGAGGAGGAGGAGGAGGAGGAGGAGGAGGAGGAGGAGGGCGGTCGTGCTCGTGGGCGAGGACGAGGAGCGGGGGGTGGCCGAGCGTGCCATCAGGAGGAGAAGGAGGAGGAGGAGGAGGAGGAGGAGGAGGAGGAGGAGGAGGAGGTGGGTAGCGGGGTGGCGCCCTCCTCTCCCCTCCTTCCCTTTTGTCAGGGTCGTGGTCGTCTTTCTCTCTCTCTCTTTCTGTCGGCGGCCGCCCTTTCTCTCTGTCTCACCGTTGCATGTCGTCCACCGCGGATCATCCTCATCGGGAGTATGAACAGAACAGGAGGAGGAGGAGGAGGACCAGTGGAAAGCCAAGAGTCACCAACGATGTTGGGACAAACCCTCTCCCTCCAAGTTCCGCTCCCTCCCCATGGGCCCCTGCAACGGATCTTTTCAATCGAGGGAATTGCCCCGTTGGAAGACAACCGTTGGAAGTCCTTGCAGCACGCCAAAAAAAATGTTCTCGGCATTCAACGCCACAGATCAACCTGATTCTTGCGTCTTGACGACCTTGAATCGCGCCAGAACACCATTCCTGAGACTTCACACAGCGAATCAACGTTACTGTTGCGCCCTCATAATCCTGAATCCGATGCTGATCATGGGAATCCGTGAAGCTCTTGCAACTGTTGAGAACCAACAATGCGCGCGGAGCTAAGGCGAGAACCACAGTTTGAAAAAGGAGCCGCCCTCAATCTGCGAAGCTTCTGCAACTGTTTAAAGCGAATGTGTGCGGCGATCCACATTTTGAAAACCACCCGCCCTCAATCCGTGAAACTTGCAATCCGCAAGGGTTTCGCCCCCTGCCGCCGGCCCCCTCTCTCGGAGAATGGGCCATGGAAGAGCGAGTTCATGAGGCTTTGGCTTCGCCGTGAAGCAGTGTCGGGACCTGTTTGTTTTTCGACCCTGACCATACGGATCTGCATGAGAGGTGCCGCCGAATTTCAGAAATGTGGCAAATCCAATGTGTTTTTGTACCCTGACCCGAAGGATCTGCGTGAGGGGTGCCGCCGAATTTCAGAAATGTGGCAAATCCCATGTGTTTTTGTATCCTGACCCTGGGGTGCCACGGAATTTTAGAAATGTGGCAAATCCCATGTGTCTTTTGACCCTGATCCTACGGATCTGCGTGAGGGGTGCCACCGAATTTCAGAAATGTTGCAAATCCCATTTGTTTTTGGACCCTGACCCCGCCGACATGCGTGAGGGATGCCACCGAATTTCAAAAATGTGGCAAATCCCATGTGTTTTTGTACCCTGACCCTGCCCATATGCTTGAGGGGTGCCACGGAATTTTAGAAACGTTGCAAATCCCATTTGTTTTTGGACCCTGATCCTACGGATCTGCATGAGGGGTGCTTGGAAATTTTAGAAATGTGGCAAATCCTATGCGTTTTTTGGACCCTGACCCTGCCGATTTGCGTGAGGGGTGCCACGGAATGTTAGAAATGTGGCACATCCTTTTTGTTTTTGGACCCTGACCCCGCCGATCCGCGTGAGGGGTGCCAATTTTTACCCACCCCAGCAATTCAGAGCATACGATTTCTCCGTGGTAAGAAGCCCCTTTCGGGCCTCCCCCCTTCGCGCGGTCCATCAACAAGGAGCATAAAGCAGCAAGAAGTCAACAAGGAACAGTAAGCAGCAAGAAGCAGAACTGTAACAGTGGAAATTGGAAGCTGCAACTGGCACAGGAAACTGCAAATTCCCGGCCTACAGCCTGGTGGCCCCACAAGGGGGCCGGCGGATTTAGTAATACGAATGTGCGCGGCGTTGAGGTGACAACCAAATTTTGAAAACCACCCGCCCTCAATCCGTGAAGCGCCTGCACATGTTTGAAACGAATGTGCACGGCGCTAAGGCGAGAGCCACATTTTGAAAACCACCCGCCCTCCATGTGTTAAACCCTTGTCATGTTTAAAGCTTCAGGGTCATAAATGGTGAGGAAGTCAGGCGAAACGCCCGGTCCGCCCTGAAAACTCGCCTTGGGGTGCGACAGGGATAAGTTCTTTATAAGGAAAAGGAATGGAGGGAGGAGGAGGAGGAGGAGGAGGAGGAGGAGGAGGAGGAGGAGGAGGAGAGAGTCAAGCTAGGTGCGCTCGCGTCATATCTGGCGTCCTACCCCTCCCTCCCATCCCTTACCATGGCGCTGATTTTCTCTATACGCGGACGCGTGTCGTAGCAGACCTGTTGCTCCGCGCGCGCGCGTGCGTAGTGGGTGGTGGTGCGCGTGCGTGCGTGCGTGCGTGTGTGCGTGGTTGTGGTGGTGCTGGTGCTGGTGCTGGTGCTGGTGGTGTGGTGCTGGTGCTGGTGCTGGTGCTGGTGCTGGTGCTGGTGCTGGTGCTGGTGCTGGTGCTGGTGCTGGTGCTGGTGCTGGTGCTGGTGCTGGTGCTGGTGCTGGTGCTGGTGGTGGTGGTGGTGGTGGTGGTGCGGCGCGGTGGTGGCGGGCGGATGGGCGCGCGAGAAAGAGGCCCGCGCTGGGACGAGAACGCCATCCTGAACGACGGAGGCCAAACACCGATCCGAAAATGAGGCCCACGCTGCAGCGGGAGCACGATTCGGAACGAGTCGGGAGCAGAAATGAAGCCTTCGCCTCAGCGAGAGCAGCATGTTGAAAAAAACGCAGGCGAAAACCCAACTCCCGGGAATCTTGTGTGTAAAAAACAGTACGCGGGGGGGGTCCAATTCTTTCAGGCCGCCATCGGTGGAAGAAGGATAGTAGTATTCATATTGAGTAATTGTAAAAGGCAGGATGACCAGGAGGCAGGAGAAGGTGGAGGAGGAGGAGGAGGAGTGGGAGGCAGCAGAAGGAGGCAAAAGGAGGAGGCAGGAGGAGGCTGAGGAGGTAAATGTGGAGGTGGAGGTGGATATGGAGGTTTTGCCTTGAATGCACAACGACCATCCCTGTAAGGGATGCAGTGGTTCGCCACATATGGCTGGGCTGGCAATTCTGGAGATTATTAGCGACACCTGCCAGGCCCTCCCGGCCCATCAGTAGGGCAGAAGGCGGAACCTACTTAGGAACTAAGGAGATGGCACATGCGGCGGACACGGGAAAGGCGAGGGGACGAGCAGCAAAGGCAGCGGCCGGGAGCAGCGGCATAAGTCGCGGGCGGCACAGGATGGTTTTCAACGATGGCCTCAAGGTTTGATGTTGCACAGCTTGCGGGTTTTCAGTAACGAATTTCTTTCCAAGGATATGAAGGCGCTTTGCACACGCACCTTTTGGGGTACCAAACGAGAATACCGCCGAAGTTTGAGGAAGGGTCCATGGCCCAAGGTGCTCACCCGAGGTCAACAGGCAACTCGAGGCTCGAGTGGTGCTTAATCCTGGATATCACCTTGTGGTTGCGTCCACTCCACTCCACTGGACCCCTCCCTCCCTCCCTCCCCTCCCTAGTCCTTCCTTCCCGTCTCCTCGCCTCCATCCTCCTTCCCCCCCTCCATGACGCGCCGAGGTCCCTTGTCGCCGAGGTCTCCTCTCCCGCCCCCCCCTTCCTCCTCACCCCCCCCCGAGGCAGGAGGCTGCGCGACTGCACTTGGAGTGCCGCAGAGCGGGCGCACCCGGGCAGGAGAGGGGCCCTCGGGGCCCCACCCTGGACCGCCCGCGGGCCAAGCCTCGGTGGCTCCACGGAGCCCAGACCAGGACTGCTTCCTGGGCAGTCGAAGGCCAGACTGTCAGATTGGATTGGGCCCCAAGGGCCAATCTGGCCCGGCCAAACTGGATGATTTGGGTTATTCGCCAGACTGGATTCGCGTTGGCTCCCTCGCCAGATTGCCCCCGCTTGCCAGATTGGGCCTGCCAGATTGGCGCCAGATTGGCTTCGACTACCCAGGCTTCGTTGTCTTGGTCACATCGCTGCAGGCCTCCCAGACGGGGCCGGAGTGATTCAATGTGGTCGGTGGATCGCGCCGCATCACCGATGCATCGGCGATACGACTCGATGTGGAGCCCGATGTTCTCCGTGCCGACGGCGCCGATGCATCGCCAACGTCGCTGAATCACCGCCACTGCATCGCCGATGCATCCGCGATACGGTGCGATCCTCCGACCCCATCTGCTCGGACTCCATCATGGGCAGTTTCAAATTCGTAGTCACATCGCCAGAAAGCTAGGTGACAATGCTGTGCGGTTCGCAGTGATTCAGCACTCTCCCTCTCTCCTTCCCCCTCCCGCCCTGAGAACGAGATAGCGCACACTTGCAACCTGGTTCTGGGAAGTTTACAAGCACGCCTGCGAAGCAGCTGGGGGGGGTGAAGGCCCTGCCAGCGCTGTGGCATGACACCGTGTCATCGGCCACGGCGTGGCGGATCGCAGTCAGAGAGTGTTGCGATACCACATCATAGTGATTTTGTGCTCATGTGCGTTTCGTACTCAGCATGTTGCTTTCTTGCCCTGGGGTGCGCATTGCCCCCTCCAACAGGAAGGCCGCCTCTACGTGGACGCCGACGTGGAGGCCGCCTACCAGGGCTGCGGCTTCCGGTGGTTCCAGCTGACGCAGTGCATCCGGCGGTCCCGGTCCGCGTTCCGGGCGGCCAAGATCAAGCCGTCGCTGAGATTTCTGGTCTTCTCTGCCCACCGAGGTCCCACGGACCCTCCCAGGCTCCTCGCCGCAGTCGCTGGCATCGCCGCCGCCGCCCTTGCCGCGCCTCTCGCTGCTGCTGGCGCTGCGGCCGCAGCGCAACGGCGCCGCCGTCGGCGTTGGCGCCGCCGCCGCCGCCGCCGCCGCCGCAGGGGCGAAGAAGTTGCGTCACGAACATCACGACCCAAGCCTTGGGCCCCATTTTCCTCTAGCATTTCTCGGGCCGGATCGACCTGTGATCCCTGAGGCCCTGGGACCCGGGACGGGGCGAAAGCGCCCTTTGCGTAGGAGTGGCAGCGCCCAGCTCTCAGGGGCTGCCGCTGGCCCTTGTCGTTCCTGCCGCCCGCTCAGGCCCAGCGGTGGCCTGCAGCCGCTGTCGGCGCTGCTGCTGCGGAGCGACGAAGACGCCACCGCCAGAGCCGAAGCCCAGGCGGCCGCGTCCGGCGAGGCCCGCCGCCGCCTTGGCGCGCGCGGCCACCGCCTTGCGCCCCCTCCGCCCTCGCGATCGCCTGCTGCTGCTGCTTCTGCTGCTGCTCCCTGCTGCTGCTGCTCCCTGCTGCTGCTCCTCCTCCTCCTCCTCCTCCTCCTCCTCCTCCTCCTCCTCCTCCTCCTCCTCCTCCTCCTCCTCCTCCAGCTCCCGTCCATCTTTACACGACTCCGTTTCCAATTTCGGCGCCCACTTCTCCGATTCCAGCTCCGATTCCAGCTCCCTGGTTTCCGACTCTGGCGCCCAACCCATCTCTCCGACTCCGGCTCCGATTGCAGCTCCCGTCTCTCCGGCTCCAATTCCAGCTCCTGCCTCCCCGACTCCAGCTCCCATCCCGCCTCCCCGACCCCGGCTCCGATTCCAGCTCCCGTCTTTTCGACTCCAGCTCACGACCCTGATTATTTATGTTGGCGGAATGGTTGAAGGTATTCCGCAGGTTCCGACTCCGGCTGTTATGGTTTTTCCCGATTCTTAGTCCTTTCCCATCTCTCCGACTCCGGTTCCGATTCCGACTCTGCATGGGACACGCGCCTTCGTCCAGCAAGAGCAGTAAACGGTCCCCGGCCCACCCGCGCTGCCCCCAAGGGGCCTGCTGGCCGACCAGCCAGCGGACTCGGCGCGTTCGTTCTTTCGTCATCATTACCATCAGCAGCATCCTCATCCTCCTCATCCTCCTCCTCCTCCTCCTCCTCATCATCATCATCATCATCATCATCATCATCATCATCATCATCATTTCTGTATTTTTTCAACTCCCGCCTCTTTCTCCTTCTCCTCCTCCCCCTCCTCCTCTTCCTCCTCTTCCTCCCTCGAATAGAACCCGCTCGCGCGCCCGCCGCCACCGAGGGTCAAACGCGCACGCGTTATACAATTGCTGAAGGGACAAACACATACGCTCTGCTATCCTTCGCGTTAGTAGTGCCGCCATGTTTGGTACCCTTCACCCATGCCATCCGCTCGGATCCCAGTTCGCGATCCACGGATTGCGCAGAGTGCCAGGTGGACGCACACTCGCGCATTCCCCCATCTCTTCATTGGATCCACCGTCCATTCCCTGTACAGCCTGTGCGTATGGCTGTTCTGTAAGTTCACGGACACTTTTCCCCGGAGGCCCACTGATACGATGAGGCAAAGGCCAGGGATCCAGCTGTGAGGACAGAAGCAGCTGCAGGCTATGCGATATGGAACGCCAGCCCACGGGAACGTTACGACGTTGCCCACAACCATGCCCCGAGTGCGTTGTTTCAGGCGCGCCGACACGTTTGTAATGCTTTTCGACAGTGAGATCACGTTTACGCGCTTCGCTGCGACATTCGCTGTAGGCACGCGGCCAGGCGGCAACCTGCGCACCCACATTGCGACGGCTTTTTCGGACAGAGAAGTGTGGGCGGTTGTCCCGTCAGTGGCAGTTGTCCTATCACTCAGGATTCACTGGTGGGGAGCACAAATGCGAATTGTCGGTGCGCGGCGGCGCCTGCTTCGCGGCGCACGCCACCTATGCGCACCCATGTGCTTCTCAGCGCGCCAGGAGCTCTCAGTGATGCAGCTGCGCAAGCACGGCGTGGTATGCCTTGGCATTACCACGCGTCGTGCTACGAACGTTGGGGCATTGTTTGGGCTTGGCGGCGCCAGCGCGCGCAGTGCTATGCCTGCGCGCACCTACGCTTCTTGCAGCGCGCGCCAGTCGTTGGCATGCCCAGCTGCGCGCCGGAGCGCGCGCAAAGGCAGAGGCATGGCTCGCTTGCGCCCACCACGCGCTGAGCTATGCACGTCGGGGCACCGCTGTGCCCCGCGTCTGCACTCGCAACTTGGCGCACCGAGCACACCGACGCCTTGATCAAGCTCGCCTCCAGCCACCCCTCACCTTCCAGGGGGTTTCTGGGAGGCAGTTTGAAGCATCTTGGGTGCCGTTTGGGGGCCCCTTGGACACCTTGGGTGGCCTCTCCGATCTTCTGGGTATATCCTGGGGCGGACATCTCGAATTGTCGGTTCGGGCTCCCCTTCCAGGGCTCCACTTGAGGCCGTTTGGGGATCGCCTTGGGCCGTCAGGGGCGCCTCTTGGGCCGTCTTGTGCAGGAGCCTGCTGGGCCATTTTGGGCGCGGTTTGGGTGGCCGCCGTGAACGCTGCGAGTCCCGAAAGCCGCACGCGCGAAGAGTGCGCGCTTGCCTGGGGGAGCTCGGCGATGTTAGCCTCTTCTCGGGCGTTTTGGCACCTATGTCAGCCGTCATCAGGCCATTTCGGGCATCTGGGAGCGGTCGTTCGAGGCCCGTTTGGGGGGCCTCTCGCGGCGCTCCCGGCCCGTCTCGGGGCCCCCTTGGCCCCGGAAAAGTCACGCGATTCCCGGGGGCACGATGGGGCCCCCGGAAGATTTAGCAATTTCGGGTCGGGTTGTTTCAAATAATCTTCCGGATTGACGAGTGAGGCTGCAGGGATTAGGCAAAGGACTTGAGGACACTCCAACTCGCGCCTCAGGACGCGGTGGCGGATGACGGGAATCGCCCTTGGAAGGCCCTGACTCGAGCGTTCATGGCGATTTTCATTGTGTCAGCGGGTTCGCAAGCCCCCGCGCAGCATGCCTCCCAGTCGATGGCAGTACATGATGTGTATCGTTTCTCTTATTATTATTATTATTATTATTATTATTATTATTATTCTTCTTATTCTTTGTATTAGTATTATTATTATTCTTCCCGCCATCGCTAGCCGACTCAATCCACGCTGGAGGGCCGAGCGTTGGGCGACGGCTCGATCACCGTGGAGCTCCACGACATCGACTGACGCCGATGATGGGAGCGAGCCAGTGCACAGCACAAGGAACTATCACCGCGCCTGCCGTGCCATTCTCGCCGGAGGGCGAGCGCGGTCGTGGTCCGATCTCCATGAAGGCCAGGGTGCCGTGGCAGGCCGACGCTATGGGGTTATTCAACTCGGCGACACAGCAGTTGCAACAGCCACAGGAGATGCGTGGGTGCCCAAGTGTCGGGACGCGTCGGGGACTCGATCCTCCCCCTGTTTTGCTGGAGCCCGGTCATTTGGCTCGAGGAAGCTCAGGATGACCCCGACACTACAGGCCATCGTGCACGTTAAATGCCAGCCCAAGGACCGACGCATCTGCTACCTCGACGCAACGGAGTTGAGGACCCTCAGCAAGGTATGTCCCCGGCTGTACAACAAAGCGGGCATCGCGCTCACCAGATGGCTCGCGTGGGACCCGACAGTAACCAAGCGGCCTGGCTTCCCGTGCGCCTACATATGGTGGTTTGCGGTCGACTACACCAACTAATTCCGTGACCTTCGGATCAAGCAGCATGGAAGGTGGTGCAGTTTTTCTCCGCGGTTCGTGAGAGCCGACAGTGATCGCAGTGCTTCGTCTCGGCCATGTATTGCTGCGCTGGCCCAGGTGAGGTTTCAGCTGTTGCACCATTTGCTTGTGCGTTTTTCCAACGCTGGCGCGTCTCCTGTCTGTTCCCCGTCCTCAGGCCTGCCGCGCTGGTGACTTTGAGTTTGGCTCGGCCCGCAGCCCGCAGACAGGTGGTCAATCTGTCTGTATGCCGCCCTCGCTTCGCCATCCTGGAGCGTTGCCGGCTTTGCGCTGCTGGCAAGGGCGGCTCCAGCATCGCCGTTCCATGTTTCTTTGCGCCTGCAGCGCTGAGCCGTTTGAGTCCCCCCTGCCTGCCACCAGCCCCCTGGTCAGAGGGCCAGGTGCCGGTGCGCGAGCCCCCCACCAAAGGGTGGGAAGCTTCGTGCGTGACGTCTGTGGATGCGCACGCGCGCGGGTTGACCACGCAGTTGGCCTTGCGAGTGCTCGCGAGACCTCTTGATCTGGGGTTACGGTTCAAAGGAAGCGCCCTTTGCGTGGGTCGTTTGTCGGCGGTGGAAATTAATGACGGGGCACGGGGCGCGCTTTGGAACCACGCTAGCGGATTGTTGAAAAATGGCCGTTTCGCTCAGGCATCCTCCAAACATCGGCCCAACGAACCGACGTCGTGTTCGAATCGCTACTGCGGGGCTTTCCAACGGCCCGAAGGGGGCCCAACAGACGCCCCGGAGAGCCCCAGGAGCGCCCCAAGAAGACCCCAAAAGACCCCCGAGAGCGCTCTAGGAGCCACCCACACAGCTCACAAGAACCCCAAGACGGCCCGAGAAGGGCCAAGAACGCGCCAAGAGACTCCCGGGAGCGCCCCAGGAGGCCCCCAAAAGGCCCAAGAAAGCCGCAGGACGGCCCCAAGATGGCGCCGAGACGGCCTAAGAAAGCTCCCACAGACCCCCACGACGCGCCCAGATAGCCCAAGAAGACCCCAGGAGCCCATAAGAGGACCCCAAGAGACCCCCAAAAAGCCCCCAACAGGCCCCAAGACAACCCCGCGCGGCGCCCAGAGCAACGTTTTTCTCCAATTACCTCTTACTGTCTTTTGTCGTCGTCGTCATCGTCGTCATCGCCCTCCGCATTCCTCCTCGTGCTCGCCCTCGTTATCTTCGTCCTCGTCTTTGTGCTTCTCTTCCTCCTCGTTGTCCTCATGCTCCTCCTCGTTATCCTCACGTTCGCCACGTCGTCCTCGCCATCGACTCCTCGTTGCCTTCGTATTGATTTTCTTCTTCGCCCAATACGCCCATTAGACTAAAGCGGCGCTTCACGCTCTTGTCCGATCAGGTTTACAGGTCAGCATAGCCACGAGGCGAACGGCCAGGATTTCGGGTTCAGACGTCCTTCAGAACCCCACCGGACTTATGCCCAGGGCACGATCATTGGAATCCCACCCATCCCGCACGGGTTCCTACAGCCGAGTGTCCAGATTAGGCACACTGTAGTCTGGCCTGGGTCCAGGGGGATCCCAGGCGAGAGGGGGTCCCCAGAAGTGGATGAACACGCTGCCCGTTCTCTTTTCCCACCCGCTCGGTTCCCATAGGGGTCGCGCCATAAGGATGGGGCAACATATTGATACCCATAGCACACCCACCCGCGTAATTGTTGCACCCCTTTGAGGCGAATGTGATCAGCGTTCACGCGGGAAGCACAGTTAAGACCACCCCCGTACATCTGTCTAACCTTTGCAGGTACTTCAGACACATGCGCGCGGCGCGATAGCAACATGTAGAAAACGGAGCACACTCCATCCTTGTAGTTGTTGGGCCATTCAATATTCAGGAACAACGATTATGAGGAAATCTCAGGCGAAACGCATGGCCCGCCTTACCAGCACGTTTGGTGTTGCGACGCCGAGGTGTTCTTTATGAGGAAGTCGTGCAAGAGTTGCAGAAAGGAAAAGAAAACAAAAAATATGAGTGGGGAGTCGGAGGAGGAGGACGACGAGGGGGTGCGGTAAAAGGAGGACGGAGGGAGGAAGACGGAGGAGGGAGAGAAAAGGGGACGAGGAGAAAGAGGAGGAGGGCTGCACTGGGAGAGAATGACGACGACCACGGCACCGACTGCGAGGAAGAGCAGCCGACGGCGGTGGATGAGGCAGGGAGGAGAGGCGGAGGGCGAGCACGAGCGAGAAGAGCGGTATCGGAGAGGACGCGGGCGAGGGGGATGGCGAGGGGGCGAGGGCGAAGGGGATGGGGGGTTGCAGTGGGGGGCGAGGGGGACAGGCAGGGGTGATGGTGATGTTGTTGTTGATGATGATTATGGTGGTGATTGTGATAGTGATGGTGGTAGTGGTGATGATGATGATGGTGATGATGATGATGATGATGATGATGATGATGGTGATGGTGAGGATGACGAGGGTGAGGATACAAATTCGGGTGAGGATGATGATGAGGATGATGAGGATGGGGATGTGGGTGGCGAGGATGATGCTGATGATGCTGAAAGTGATGATGATGATGACGACGATGATAGTGATGATGACCATGATGATGATCACGATAATGAGGATGATGATTATGACAGTGGTGATGATGATGCTGCTGAAGATACTGATGATACTGATGATGCCGATGGTGATGGTGGTGATTATGATGATCAGGATGAGGAGGATGATGATTGTGATCATCATGAGAATTTGATGAGGGTGCTGATGATAATGATAATGGTAATGGTGATGCCGAGGTTGATGACGATGACGATGATAATGACGATGATGATGATGATGAGGATAATGATGATGATGGTTGTGGTGATTATGCTGGTGCTGATGCTGATGATGATCATGATGATGACGATAGTGATCGTGATGATGGCGATGATGATAATGATCATGATTGTGAAGATGAGGATGAGGATGATGATGACGATGACCATGAGCATGATGATGATGACGATGATGATGATGGCGTTGGCGGTTATTGTTTTTCATTAGGATGAGGATGCGGGTGAGCACGATGATGATGATGATGGTGGCAATAAGGATGGGGATAAGGATTATCCTGATGATTATGATGATGCTGATGATGCTGATGCTGATGATGATGATGATGATGATCATGATCACGATCATGATCATGATCATGATCGTGATGACGATGATGATGATGATGATGATGAAGACGAAGATAATGATGATGATGCTGATGACGATGATAATGATGATGCTGATGATGATGATGATGATGATGATGATGATGATGATGATGATGATGATGATGCTGATGATGGGGCCCGGGGCCGGGGCCGCGTGTCGCCCGCGCGCGGGCGCCGCGCCAGTCGATCAGCAGCTTCACGGCGTGGTGAGCCAAGTGCGCGCGCGTCTCTGCCGGCGGAGGCGACAGGGGGGCACCGGGAGCGGGAGGGGCAGCGAGGAGGTTGTCAGGAGCGGGAGGGGCAGAGGAGGAGGAGGAGGAGGAGGAGGAGGAGGAAGAGGAGGAGGAAGAGGAGGAGGAGGAGGAGGAAGAGGAGGAGGAGGAGGAAGAGGTTGTCAGAAACGGTGGGGGCAGAGGAGGAGGAGGAGGAGGAGGAAGAGGAGGTCTTCGACGGGCAGATGGGATTTGGAGTTTTTCTTTTGGGGTGTCCAGAAGGCCTTCGAGGTTATCTCCCTGTAATCCCGGCCGTGGCACCGGTTGGAGACGTCTGAAGTGTGAGAGGCTTTCTCTTCCTGCCGCCCGGAGGCTGCTTGCTCTTTGCTACCTTGGTCAACTCTATCATTTCGACTGTGCAGTTTCCTCTCCAGGTGCTTGTCAACTGCATGTTTCTCCAGGCTAAGCATGCGGTATGTGACAGGCCATTGACGCTGACGTCTGGCCTTACACCGAGTAATGTGCAAGCTGTTTCGCTTCGGGAGTGGGACAGCCAAAGCAGGATTTGGGGGCCAGGCCTTGACAGGTAAGGAGCCCTTGAAGGCTGCAGTGATTTCAGGAATTGCGGGCGAAATCGCTGACATTGAAAGAATCCCGATGGCCGAAGCTTTGCTTGACATGGAAAAGTTGTTCGACACCATCTACGTGCAGGTTTGTATTAAATCGGCTGCGGAGTTCGGATGGTCTAAGCCTGCCCTGGCCCTGGCGTTGGTTGGTGGTCCACAAGGCGGTTCGTGCCCTACCTCCGACATCGGTTGTTCCAAGTCCGGGTGGCCTGGGGTGAGGATGTGGTCAGAGTTGTTTTCTTGATCGTGTTTTTCTTTAGGATATCCTTTTATTATGATTGTATTAGGCTTACGCCACACCCGCCGACCCCTTCATTCACTCTCGGTTCCGCGATGTGCGGTGCTGCTGCTCGCTTACAGGGGAGCAAGACTTGGCTTGTTGGGTCGCTCTTCCACTGTCTTGGGTGCGGTTTGGGGCTGCGTGGGTCGTGGTGAAGCCCTACATGCTTTCATGAAGCGTTTGCCTTGGGCCGGGGGGGCGGGAATCAAATTTCGGATTCGTTTGGGGGGGGCATGACAACACGGGGGGAGAATCTCCCACGCCTAGAGACCCACAAGGGGGCGGTGGATTTTTCCCTGATTGCATTCGTCTGTTCCTCGATGTCGTTCCCCATCAAATCCCTCTTCGATATTACTGTTCCCCCGGTCCTCCCCCTTCGTCACATCCGCCACAGGTTGTCCTGAGGCGGTTTCGGGGGCCTCGCGGGCCGTCTGGTAGCATTGGAAAGCCGAAAAGCGGGCGGGTCCGAATTTACAAACTTGACAGACAAAACAATGACTTTTGAGTTTGGGGGTTTCCTCTTGGAGGCCTCTTCGGGCCCTTTGGGGCCGTTTTGGGGCCATCATCTTGGGCGGCATGCGCCGTCTGGAAGTCATCTGCAGCGTTTCGGGTTGATCTTCCGGCGATTCGGGGCGATCGTTGCTGCCTGTGGAGCCGTGCGCACCCGGAAGAGCCTGCACCCCCTAATGATGCGTTCGCCCGGACTCGGGGGGAATCGCTCGGGGTCGTTCGGAGCAGGGCACGGGGGGGGGGACAATCTCACGCGCCTGCAGACCCACGAGTGGTCGGCGGATGTTGTGAGAGACGTCGGAAGTTTGGGCTTCAGCCTCGCGGACGCGTCGGGGGACGCGCTCAGGCCTCACCCTTCAGCTACCGTGCGCGGCATGGCGCGGACGGGATCCATACCTTGTCGACGCGACAGAACGATTTCGCGGGGTGCTGTCCGAAGGACTCAGCTGAACGTCACACGGCTGTTGATACGTTTTGTCGCGTTTGCTGGACTGTCGTTGCCTTGGCCAGACGCTGCGCGAGCGCGTCTCTCGATGCGAGGCGCTGCTCTGCCCGTTCTCAGGGATCAAGGCGCGGGAGGGCAGGAGGTTCACGAAGCTTTCTCCACCTTTGCGGCCAGGCGCCTCCTCGGAGTCGCGGCCGCCTACGGTGCGACGACGACGCGAGCGGCCGATCGAGCCGCGGCCGCCCGACGTTCCGGATGCCGCCTGAAGACCTCTGCGCGCGCGGTTCACTCGCTGAGGGTATCCTGTTGTGTTTCCTTGGGGGCCACTGCGCAAGCTTTTCCTGGCGCTCGCTGCGCCCCCCTGCACAGGGGCGAAGCGTTGGCAGAGGGGCGTTTTCATTTCCGAGGTGGCGAAGGGGCGTCGTTCAAGTGTTCGACGGTCTGCCAATCGACGCGTTTGCAGCGTTACATTGCCGCCGTCGGCGCGCGTCCGTCTGGGGGACTTGCCGGTTGCCAGTCGCCGTTGGTCGGCGTCTTTCCGATCGTCCGTGTTTCTGTCGTCGCACGCGTCAGCACGCCCGCGTGGCTACGCGGCTGCGCGCGCGCCCGTCTGGGATCGCGCGCGCCTGATTGCGCGTTTGCTAGGGCCTTTGCATGGGCGCCGGCGCGGTTGCTCGAACGTTCGTTCGTTCGCCTACTGGCGCGTCCGCTGTTGAGGTTTGCTTTCCGCCCGTGTAGCCACGTCTCGAACCGCGCCCGCTTCGGCGCGGCAGCCGGCTGCGGCGGCGGCGGCGCCGCTGGCTCGCGCAGCGCGCGCCGGGCCTCGCGGCCAGAGTTATCGTTCGAGGCTGGCAAAAGGGCGTCGCCATCGCCAGTTTTCAAAAGATACTCCCCGTTTCAACGGGGGCGCGGCCGTCAGCCTTTTTTGCGGCGGGTCGACGGGCGACCTGGCGCTGCTGAGCGCAGCCGCCGTCGTGCCCCTGCTGGTCGCTGTCGCGCGCGTGACTTGAGCGCGGCCGTTGGCCGCGGTCGCGGCGGTGGCCGAATCTGGCGTTCAGACATCTTGCCCGAGTCGGAAAGGACGTCACAATCGCATCGTTGGAAAGGGCTGTCCCGATGAAAGAGGGTTGCTGTTGTCGTGGAGGCGGCGCCCCTTGCTGCTGTCGCCGTCGCGATGTTGCCGGTAGCTGTCGCGGTTGTCCTCGCGGGGCTGCCGTTGGCCACTGTCGCGGCGACGGGGCAGCTGCTGCGGCGCGCGCCGAGTCTCGCGCGCAGGCTTGGCGCATGAGTGCGCGGGCTGCCGCCGCCAGGGTGGCGCGCGCGATTGCGGTTGCGGTGCCGGGTCTTGTTCTGCCGTTGTTTGCCGTAGCGGTGATTTTGCTGTCTCCGGCCGCGGTGGATGGCGCGCCAATGTCTGCCGCCGCAATAGCTGGGCTTCCAAGCGCAGACTGCGTGATTGTTGTTGCGCGGGCTTTTCCGCGGACGCCCGACTCGCGGCGGCGCGTGCCACCGATGGGCGCCCTTGGTCATGCCGTCTTCTTCCTTGCAGCTTCGAAGCAGGAAATGCTCGCCGACGTTTGAAAAAGGTGTTTTTGATCATTTGCCGGCTTGCAGGAGGTCTCGGACACCCCCGGAGCGCGATTTCGCCGTTTTCCGCCGTTCGGAAATTCCGGGCGCCCCCGGATCACGCGTTCGTAGTTTTTTCTGTTTGTCGGAGGTGTCGGAGGCCCCCAGAGCGCATTTTCATTGTTTTTTTCTGCGGGTTGGAAAACTCGGAGGTCCTTGGAGCGCGTTTTCGCGGAGGGTTCCACAGCGCGGACGATGACCCAGCGCTCGCAGCACTGCGCTTGCGTGGCATGTTGGGGCCCCGCGCTGCGCAGAATGGTCTGGAGCCGCGGCAACTTGGAGCGCGCTGTAGGGCCGTCGAACGCTGCGCGGCATTTACTGCCGAGGCATTGCGACGGGCCGCGGACGAAGCTCGGGCGCGCTCGCGCGCCTCACGCGATGCAGTCGCGCGCGCGCGGCCCATGCATCCGCCAGGCACGGCGCAGCGGCGCCGCCGCATCAGTCGGCTGAGGGCGCCCGGCGGGGGAGTGGGCGCATCGCGTCTGCGGCGGCGTCGCTTTTGAGGCGGTTGGAGAATCCCGGGCACAATTGCTGGATAAACGCAGCGCTTCGCGGGTTGCTGGCGGCAAAATACGCGAGGGGGGGCTGGCGGCGTTTCATTCGTCGAGGACCCGGGCAGTTGCAGGTCCGTCTGGGGGGGGCCAGATGTCGACGCACTGTTGGGGGCCACTCTTCGGGAGGTTGAATGCGACTTGAGGGGCCCCCCAGTTCTCGCAAAGTCAATGACGGAGGTGTTCGACGAGGGCGCTTAAGAGGACGCTCGCGAATTCCTCGCGGAGTTCGTGGACTCCGGGAAAGCGAGGCGGGCAGCGGCCCCTCTTTCGTTCGCGAACGCGGAGGTGGCCCAACGCGGGAGGGGGCGTTGCGGCGGACGCAAGAACGCGATGGGCGCGCGGCCGCAGACGCGCCTTCAGGCGCCGGCGTCGACGGCGGCGGGCGTTCAGATCGCGACGACGCAAAGCGCGATAGAGGAGGCGCACCGCGACTCAGAGCTAGACGAGATCCACTTGCGGGAGCGCCCCCGCGCGCGCGGCCACGAATCGGCGAGAAAGGTGGCGCTCATGTCCGCGGCGCCGGAGGTGTTGCGGCTACAGTTGAAGAGGTGGACTTGGGATGCGGCTAGACAGTGGGCACGCGAGGGCGCGCTGGGAGGCAACCGCAGGGGGGGGGGGGGGGGGGCGCCCCGCGCTTCGGAGCAGCGTCTTTCGCCGCAGAGCCACTGCGCGGGGCGGGCGCTACACGGCGCCATGCGCCAGCGCCATCGACGGTGATCAGAAGTGGTCGTTGCGGGGCGACGGGGCGGTGAGCGCTGCGCGGCATCCTGCAGAAACGGAAGGGCGGCAAGGGGCGAAAGCGCACGTGTTCGCGTACCAACGCGCGGCGGAGCCCAGAGTTGGAGCCCCCGGCGGGCGCGGAGACGCGCGCGCTGTAGATGTCACGAGCACCCGCAGCGCACGCGCCGCGACGCAGGCGGGGGGCGGCCGCGTGAGCGACGACCCAGCATCCGAACAGCGAAGGACATGTCGCCCACCCAGCCGCGGCCCAAAAGTGAGCAGACAGGA